GGCATTGAGGCACCGGAAAATCTCAGAAGAGGGGAAGGCAGTGTGCATGAAGAAACCGATCTCCGCATTCGGTAGTCTCTCGCGGAGCATGGAGGGGAGCAGCAGAAGGTGATAGTCATGGATCCAAATGCTATCCCCTGGACGCCAGTAGGCAGCAATCTTGTCCGCAAAGGCCTCATTGACCCTCACATACTGCTTCCAGGAATAATCATCATACTCTGTGTGTCGAGGACTTTCTTGCATCTGATAGTGGAAGGCAGGCCAGAGGACGGCACGGCAAAAGTGAGTGTAATGGCCCTCAAACTCGCTGTCATTGACGAAGACTGTCAAGGACTCGAACTCGTCCTCGAGGGCCTCGGAGATACTAGCCCGAGTCTCGTCCTTCAACGAGTCGGTGGGCATGCCCAAGGTCCCCACCCACATCTTGTCTGTCAGCATACCGGCTTCTTCGGCAGCATTGATGGCATTGCGCAGGCCACCATTGCCCTGCTCTGCTGCTTTGACCACCCAATCCATCTCGGAAAGAAGGGCCCGCGGGCTGCCATGCTCTTCCTCGGAGCTGATTGCATCCAAGGGAGCATCAAGATACGGCGGGTTGTCTAGTTCATCGATCTCAGGACGACTAAGGATGGATGGCTCCGGGTATAAAGAAGCCTTGGAGCGTGGCTGGTTGAACTTCCGGCTCTGGCCCCAAGAGACCGTGCGAGGCTCACTAGGGCCGGGACCGTTGGGGTCATCTGCCGCCGGGATCTCTCCCGCAGATCGGGAGATGTATGGCTTGAAGATCTTCTCATCCTCAGTGGTTGCCCCTGGTGTGTATAGACTGATGCTTTTCGAATGGCGTTTCCGATTGGTATCGGCCAAGCGTCCTACAATCCTCCCTTCTCCATGAGAGGAGCTGCTGGACGATTTGCGACGAGCATATCTCAGCTCGGTGGCTTGGAAGTTGATAGTGTAAGGAAGGAAGCTATTCAAAGTTAGTAGAGTACAACGGGCCAGGTAGAGAAGGGGAAAGGCATTGACGTACAGTGAAGCAATGAAGACCGTCATTGCGACAGTGTGTGTATGCCTTGAAGCAGGAGGTGTATTCTAGAAGGTCTTTGTGACACCAAATGGAAGACTTGTAGACAACAAGGAGAGATCCAGGATCAGCGGGGCCAGAAGGCTGAAAAAAGTAATAGTGGAGCAGTGGAGCAAATCAAAGAGTCCGTGATGGAAGGAAAGAATTAGGAGGGAGGGTTGGACTGCAGCGACAAGACTCGGACCTAGGGATGTTTTAAGGCTGCAGTGGTAGTGGAGGTGGAGGTGGAGGGAATGATTGCTGGGGATAGAGTTGAAATACGGATCGAAGCGAGGGAAGAGGACAATGAATAGGTCTTTAAGTCACACGAGGATGAATGAAGAGAGAGTGGATGACCCTGAAAATCCCGGGTGGATGCGCGAGAGAGAGAGTGTGTGTGTGTGTGAGTAAGTGTAAGTTAGACACCCGAGCCATGCGCAGAAGGAAGAAGCAGTCAGTGGTGACGTCCATGATTGATGGCTATTGATTGGCCCAGGACCAGGGCACCTGTCAAAATCCGCGGGGAACGGAGCACATGCAAGGCATCAACTACTAGACAGGAACATTCTGGCCTTTTCGTGCGTGAAGGAGGGGTTTGGGCAGGTTTTTTCCTCGTCTTTTTTTTCCCCATTTTCATTTCATTTCTTGGTATCTGTTTTTCTCCAATTTCCTTCTTTGGCTTATGTGTCTATGTGTGGTGGCCTTGGGCAGAGATGAGCTGTGCACGGAGGCACTCAAGAAGAAGGCAGAAGGAGGGGGAGGGGCAAAGAATCGAAAGCAAAAGAGGGGAAATGGAAGCCCGGGAGGGGAAAACCAGGAAGATTCTAGCCCATTGAGTGATTTTATTTTCCTTGGTGCTCCTTTTTCTTTTTCTTTTTCTTTTTTGTTTCAAGGCTGGCAAGAACAGCCATCACAATTGCAAACTATCAGATCACAAGCTCATAGCATCAATTGAATATCAAAGAATCCCACCGATCTAGCTAGATCGGGAGAGGAGGCACTAGACGGGGAGTAAAACTTGCCTGCAGCACGGTCTGCAGATAATCAGTTCGACTATCCCTTAGTCTAGTTAGCTTGGGCTGGAGGAAGAAACAAAGAGACCAGGGAAGTATAGAAACCGGCAAAGGCCAATGAGAACAATGACGTTGAGGTTCCCGTGGGATCCGCAACTGATCCACCCGCGGCGTTTGGGCGACGGTTCGAGACAGTTCGACCACCACCGCGTGCCCGGTTTGGTCAATCTTGGTCCAGGTTGGCATCACCACTGCTTACCACTCACCAGTCGCACCCTTTGCACATGGATTCGAGGGTTGGTTCAGCAAGAAGGAATTGCACGGGAAAAATAGGAATGGGTCGCAACAAGGGGGTTGAAGATGCTGGTAAGTACTTGATAAGAGAATAAGAGAGAAAGAAAGAGAGGAGGGGCAGATGATTGGGGGGGATAGTTAGTAACTAGGTAACCCTACAGTACTCAGTCTCATATGGAGGGGGGCTTGATGAGGCGGTGGTGAAGTAATAACCAACCCAACAATAGTCTACACACTATTATTATTGTTCTGCCAGCCATAACTTAAGAAGAAGTGGAGCTCTTCATGATTGTTGTGTAGTGTGTACACCAGGGAAACCAAAATTACCACTCTAATCCTCTTCCAAGCCCTGTTCCTGATCTTTATCTCGGTTTTGCCCTTTCCACTTCCCCGATCGTTTCTCCCTCTCTTCACCGATACGAAGCCAGGAAATCATCACCACCTCTTCTTCCGTCTCCTCTCCCCTCTCTCTCCCTCTCTTGCTCTCTCGCCCTCTTGCTCTCTCCATTGCATTATATTACTCTTCCAATTTCTCCTTCCTATCGCTAGACCCCAATTGACCTCCCTCTTGTTTTTTTCTTTTTCCCATTCCCATCCAAGCTCCCTCCAGATTCGATTAAAAACAGGAAAAGCGGGGCACAACATCTCCTAGCTTTCCTAGCTTCTCTCCAACCCTCAATTCTCATTTACCTGATTCACATTGAGTGTCAGCTGTCATGGCCAGCGACAATTCTTCACAGGGCGATTCCCGCCTGTTGATCGTCTCTAATCGGATTCCGATCACCATTCGACGATCGGCAGGAGGGAAGTATGAATTTTCCATGTCCTCGGGAGGATTGGTGACAGGATTGAGTGGACTCTCCAAGGCGACGACTTTCCAGTGGTATGGCTGGCCCGGACTGGAAGTGCCTGAGGATGAGATTGAATCGGTGACTGCGCGACTGTCGGATGAGTTCAATGCGACACCAGTCTTCATGGACGACAAATTGGCGGATCGTCACTACAATGGCTTCTCCAGTGAGTCGCTGCCCTAATCACCCGCCCCGCGTCTTAACCTACCCCTCTTCTGCTGCTGTTGCTCCCGTTGCTGCGGCGGCGGCTGCTGGTGCTGCTGCTACCTACGGCTCCTTCTGCCCCTCCCTGGGCATTTTGCCCGCATCTGATATGCGTCTGCATATTTCCCAGCTGCCGCGATAGCCACATGGCACCTGGCAACAGGCGCCCCTCCTCCCACTTCCCACTTCCCACTTCCCCCCTCCAATGGGTCACCATGGCTAACGTGAGCTGTCAGACTCTATTCTTTGGCCACTGCTGCACTATCACCCCGGTGAAATCGTGTTCGACGAAGCGGCGTGGGATGCCTATCGTGAGGCGAACCGGCTCTTCGCTCGGACCATCGCGCGCGAGGCTCGCGACGGGGACTTGGTTTGGGTCCACGACTACCACCTCATGCTCCTACCGGAATATCTCCGCGAGGAGCTTCACGAGTTGGGCAAGAAGAACATCCGAATCGGATTCTTCCTGCATACCCCCTTCCCCAGTAGCGAGATTTACCGCATCCTGCCCGTGCGGAGTCAACTCTTGCGCGGCGTGCTGCAGTGTGATTTGATCGGATTCCACACCTACGACTATGCGCGTCATTTCTTGAGCTGTTGCTCGCATATCCTGTAGGTCACCATTATTTTGCCTCCCACTCGGAGGTCCCGTCTGTCGCACGCTAACCGGGCGCCGTAGGGGATTGGTCACCACTCCGAGCAGCGTGGAATTCAAGGACAGGTCGGTCGCCGTCGGGGCATTCCCCATTGGCATTGATCCCGACAAATTCACCGAGGGTCTCAAGAGTCCCAAGGTGCAGAACCGGATCGCCAGCTTGGAAAGCAAGTTTGAGGGTACCAAGCTGATGGTCAGTGTCGACCGCCTGGACTATATCAAGGGTATCCCCCAGAAGCTGCACGCTTTGGAGGTCTTCCTGTCCCAGCACCCGGAATGGGTGGGCAAGGTCGTTCTGGTGCAGGTTGCCGTCCCGAGTCGTCAGGATGTCGAAGAATACCAGAACCTGCGCGCGGTGGTTAACGAGCTAGTGGGAAGAATCAACGGCAAATTCGGTAAGTTCCCATGACCGTGATAGATCGTGTCTGGATAGTGCAACTGTACTAATCCACAAAATCGCAGGAACGGTGGATTACATGCCCATCCACTTCATGCACAAGTCGGTGAGCTTCGACGAACTCATCGCGCTGTACGCCGCCTCGGACGCGTGTGTGGTGTCGTCGACCCGCGACGGAATGAATCTCGTTTCGTTCGAGTATGTCGCGACCCAGCAGAAGCGCAAGGGCGTGTTGATTCTCTCCGAGTTCGCGGGTGCCGCGCAGAGTCTGAACGGCAGTATCGTCGTCAACCCGTGGAACACGGAGGAGCTGGCCAACGCATACCACGAAGCGGTCTCGATGACCGACGATCTGCGTGCGCAGAAGTTTGAGAAGCTCTACAAGTACATTACCAAGTACACGAGGTAAGCTTACGTGGCCCCCTCCCTCCCTCCCTTTCTTCAAACATGGAGACGATCCTCCCGCCCTGTCCTCTTCATCCACTCCCTTGCCATTCCCGCGCCACGCATGGAGGAAACCCAGACCAGATTACTAACTGTGGTTTCACACTGATGTAGTGCATTCTGGGGCAAGTCTTTCGTCGCCGAATTGTCCAAGTGCTCGACTGCAAACACGGATGCTTCTTGATGAATGATCTACTGTCTATTGGCCTATCTTCCCTTTTTCTTTGTCTTCTTCGGTCAACCCTTGGGCATGCAGTTCAATTTGGTACGACTCCGGCGCACGAGTGAGCATTTCACGATTATGTTTGATAGATTTAGCAGCAACAGCCCTCACCTTTGCAAAGCACATGATATAGCATTGAATATAGGACAGGAATATTGGAACTGAGGAATAATGATGTATCTGGAACACCATGTGGCAAGCCACCGACCTCAGGTATGAGTAAGAGTACAAATGCTTAATCAACAGATCAAGTCCACCAAACAAAAAATTGGATCTTCCACGTCCACTGTGTAGATGCCTATCCCTTCTGTCTAGATGAGTATGTAAACTCTTATCGCGGAATCAGGGACTACCCTTCCCTCCAACAAATACGTCATCCATCCACGTCAACACATTACAATGTACGAGTACATCTAATCTCGCCCCCCTGCCCTGACCCTTGCCCTTGCCCTTGCCCCCCCGCCTTCACATCCAAACCCACTTCACCGACCCCCACATAGGTAGGTAGATCAGCAATCAAGCTCAAGCTCAATCAAGCGCCGTCCGAAACAAACAGTACTAGATTATCTGCCACAAGGATATTACACAACCATTCCGTTGATGATACCACACGCCTTCCTATTACTATAACCTAACAAGTAGTACGGAGTACATATAGGTAGAATCAACAAGAACCATGTAAGGTTACTGCTTAATACGAGTGAACTAAGCCCATAATCGTTTAGTAACGCACTCACCCATGACTTCACGATGACATATCGCCCGAACAACGGGTTATCAGGACGGGCTTTCGGATCGTATGAGTTCTACACATACTCGTAGGTCCCCCACGCCATCAGACAAGGAATTGGGGCCCGGAGGGAAGGTCTAGAACTTGCTTGCACTGACTGGACTGCGGTTACATGCACACTTTAAGATAGATATCCTCGTGGGTTTTGTTTTGTGCAGTAGTAGCGCGATGGTAGATATTTATTTAACATGCTGGGTTTTAGATAAGAAGATATCCATCGGCAATCTATTTGAAAGAGAAACTCATCGACGGAGTAAAGCATTACAGTGCGCATTTACCGGGGAACCTTTTCGCAAAGACATGTAGTTATTGTAGCTGAGGATTGGAAGAGGAAAACTTGACTCCTCCATATAGTTACTCATACCTTATGAGTAGACAAGAAACAAAACTCGGAATCATCCAAACAAGGTAATTCCGAAGGTTCTGTCTCTTTAGCACCGGGAACGAACCCGACCCCGTGCTTTCAGCTTCGCAGAGAAAAAAAGGGTCCTCAAAGTTTCATCAATTCTCGTGATCGGCCCCGGGGGTGATGACTAACCAGGACATACGTAATTGCTACTCCGTGATCATGGCCAAAAAAAAAAAAAAAGAAAAAGCCAAGCTTAATTCTTGAAGGGGAGACTTGGAGGATGAGGAGGAGGTTGGAACTAGTCCCGTTGAAGATCCCGTTTTCTCCTCTCTGATCCGTTCGTGATCACGCGTTGTCGCTAATATTAGCAACGGACATACTCTACAAATTGATATACATATATCTACTTCAATATGGACAGAATGAAGAGACAAAAAGAATTTGGAAGTCATCAATTGTACAGATAACTCATCAGTTGGCTGTCGCTTGATCTTGCTACAAGGTCGAAAGAAAATAGAAGAATAGGGTACAAGGTTTAGGGTCTCATAAAAGCCCAAAACAGGCCCAGACAAATTACCTACTCCAGAATGAAAAGGAAGTCAACTTATGGTCACGGATGATGCGATGCTTTCTGATCAGGGGAAATATTCGCCGCCCCCCAGCCAATTTGCTTCCAGGGTCTGGCCGCCATGGACACCTACTCAAGGTCTCTCTTCTGCTTTCTGGTGCTGTTGAACCATTGGCATTCGGCATGAGAGACACTTCTAACCTACTCCGGAGAGGGATCTACCCCCTTCCTTCATGGATGGCAGGGTCAGGGACCACCAAAAGTCAAAAATTCGAAGAAGCAGAGGATGGCCAGATCTCGACACCTCTTTTTTTTTTTCCCTTCCCCGGTTCTTATGGGATTGCGAGTCATTTCACCAACAGAATTCTCAATTGAAGGGCCAAGTTCTCCCATTCGTTTTAACCTTCCCCTTGGCCAGGCCCCGCCAGGGTCTAGGGCAGATTTGTGGTTGACAGGCACCTTGGGAGAGGCTCACGGAAGGGGTTTAGTGGGATGGGGTCTTCCCTCAAGGCTTCAGGCTCCCAAAGTTCCCTCGAACCTCCAGCCAGATCTTGTGCTATGCCAAGACGGACGCTTGCGCGTCTCCGCCACCATGCCGTCCCGATTAGGAAGGATGCCGCAATCATGTAACGCCGGGCGGTTTGAAATTGCTTCCAAATCGAGTTGGCCCACAGAAAAGGGTAAAGGGAAAAGAGCAAGGGAGGCTGAGGCATGAAAGTCTGGAGGGGTTCCTGCACCTTCAATGTGTCGGTCTGTACGGCTGTCGGCTTGGTCGGGCCGTGCGACCATGTTACTCAGCTTCTCTCTCTCTCTCTCTCTCTCTCTCTCTCTCTCTCTCTCTCCGGGGAAATTGGGCTTCGCCGTGTTCCCTGGATGTTCCATGTCAATCATGATGCAAAGGTCTTGTTCACCCCAGGGTCTTCTCTGGCAAGGAAAGGAGGAGGTGGCGAGACGGATGTCTATCAACTTATCAACGTCTTGCGTCGTGTACATGAAAATCCTGTCTGTCCGTCAGTGGAGATAACTGTTGCAATATTGCAGGTGCCGCGTAGTGCTTGCGCTGCATATGGTGCACGTCTTATCTGTGCAGCGCGCACTCACGAGAGGCGCTTTCCCGGTGACGGGGTCTGGTACACATATGTATACGTACGATCAACCCTGATAGTCATTGTGTGTGTATCACATGGCATACGTAGGATTCGTCGCCTGGTGAACCCGTGGGCAATCATCAGGATTTTGACCAGAGCAACAGGGCCCGTTTCGAGTCGGTCGGACTCAAGAAAACCTGCATGGGCTTCGCAATGCATGTCGGAACTCGGACTTAGGGGTCTATGAAGGTATGTAAGGTATAGAGGAGAGGGCCTCGACCTCAATTCATTGATCAGGATCACCATGACCATCGGCCGGCTTAAGTCTATCCCGGCGAGCATGGTGGTTGGTCCTTATAGGAGGCATCATGGATTGACGACCTGGATCCTCTGCACTAGATATTATGTCGGACGCACCTAGCGGAGACTGACCAGGAGTTTGGAAGTTGGATATTGCCGTTTCGGGACCCCGTTCAGCAAAAGACCTCAGTTATTTAGCAAATAGTCACCTTGCTTCCTACGTTGAATTCGTTAGCCTGTTAGATTATCTTCGCATCTCGTCCTATTTGCCCAGAATCGTTACTCTTTTCCAGCAAGGAAGCCCGATCTCTTACTTCCGGTGGGATATCCACTGCTTCGTCAGCGGAGGAAATAGTCTGAGTGGGTGCAATTCCGACTATGGGTCCAGTATACTCGTAAGGCTATGCGGTTGAAGCCGCGATGGAGGATTGCCTAGTTGGGGAGGGAGATCGATGAAGCTCTTTCGGTTAAGTGGACATTTTCTCCGAAATGCCCTTACTTGAAGCTTTGAAAGTGCGTTCTGGGAGCAAGAGACGATGAGGGCAAGAAGAGAAAGAAATCGCCGATCCGGTAGCCTGGAGATGAGGTGGACACTACGTGCATTGTGCACGGTCACTAAGCATGACAGAGTGACCGATGGTGACATTTTTTAGCCTGTTGGTCAGAGAGCCGCGTAAGACGGACAAGCTGACGTCGAACGAGATCCTCCATAGCGCGGACCCGGAGTGCGGTCGGTCGCGCTCGAGGATTGCCTTGTTAGGAGATTTTGTTCAGACGCGCCGACGAGACGAGAAAAGAAATTTCAGATACTCCTATGGCTACTCATACAATCATTTCAGTTGTCTCGCCGCTCAAGGACGATGATGAAGCCCTTCGGAATCCAAGATATAGCAGTGATCGGAGGCTTGCGTGGACGTGTCTTGTGAAGAAGGGAAAATCCCTCTTCCTTTCTAGTCATGGAGAAGCGAACAGAGAGCCAAGCTTTGGGAAAGAAGCATCAGCAAGTGGTTTTGCACCCCATCAAAAGACTAAATTGTTGCCAATGTGCCATGCGATGGAGGCATCGCAAGCAATGAGTGGAGCCAAGACATCCAATTTCGCAAGCACTCCGTAAACGTATTGACAATCAACCAAAGGATGGCGATGGCTTCAGCGCTGCTGCTGCTGCTGCTGCTGCTGCTGCTGCTGTTGCTGCGACGAGAGGACGACTGGTAGGGGTAGGTAATATTAGGGGAGGAAGGGTGGCAGTGGGAGTGGTTGTTGCCAAGGGCTTATTGCCACAGGGGGTAATGGTAGCAAAGGGAGAATAACTTGCACTGAGAGCATACACTTCCCTAGGATGAGGATGCGTGGCAGTATTGCCAACCCTCCAAGAAGATGCGGACGGAAGCAAAGAGGGTCTTGGCCATGGTTCAGTTAACTGTTTCGGGGCGGGACACACGCGGCTTGCGGTGCTGGCGCGGGGCCCTGATTGGGGCGAGGAGCTCAAGGCTGACGACGCTTCGCCCTCGCTGCTGGCGTGGATTGAAGAAAAAATGGAAAAAATGGCCCTTTAACCCAAATAATCCATTTTCTACTAAGCTACTTCTTATCCAACCACGCTATACACCCCCAGTACGGGTCCAGTCAATCAGTCAGTTAGTCAGTCAGTCAGTCAGTCACCACTGCAGCTGGCACTCAAAGTCACTGCGCACTCTTCTTACACAGAGTTTCTTCTGAAGTGCCTGTCGTGCTGTCGTAGACTGCCCCATCCAATACTGCGTTTGGTCTGGTCCTTCTCTCTTCTTCTTCCACCACCACAACCACCACAACCACCACTACCCTACTACAACTCTTTCTTTCTTCCCCATTCTTCCTCCTCATCATCGTCGTCGTCGTCGTCCTCACCTTTTGGTGGACTCCTCACATTGTAGTTTTATCCACCTTCTTAACTTAACTCTAACCGCTTCTCTCTCTCGTTTCTTTCCCTCCTTCCTTTCTTCCCTCTTCGCTCCCCTTTCGGACTCCCTTCCCTTTCCTCCCTCTCCCCTCCCAATCTTCGCCTTACCCTTTCGGTCGTTCTCGGAGCCACGTCCTTCAACCTACTCTTCACTTCTGTTTCACTTAACCTGTGGCCCATTGTCGACTGGCTTCAGGTTCATCTTCGTTGCTCCTACGTCTCCTCCTTCATAGTCGTGGCGGTTACCTTGACTTCAGCGCCAAGCGTGGCGACCGCCTGGCTGGGCTGTGCGACCATCATCATCCTGGTCGGCCGACTTGACTGACCGATTCTTTTCTTTCGACAATCAACCCTTGAGCCCCGTCTCCTGTCAAACAGCTTCATTGTTCTGCAAACGACTCGGATCCATTGTCCGAAATACCTCAGCTGGAATTGGGAATCGAGTTCGGTCACCCTGGAGATCTATACGCCTTACTGCCGCCGCTGGTGTCATTGACCCTGCCCCTACCACCCACAACCATGGCAGACGGAAGACACCACCATTACAACCAGGCGACGAATCCTGAGAACTTCGATGCCGGCGAACTTACAAATGCCTTTGAACAATTGATGCGCAACAAGCGATTTAATCAACTTCAAGAACAAGCCCGATCGCAATCTCGCACGCAATCACCCTCTCCCGGCCTCTACCCTCCTCCTCATCCCTCGCGAGCACCACCACCGCCGCCCCCGACCGCACCTCAGTACCCGGCCCACCAAATGCCTCCGCAAACATCGTCACAGTCACCCCTACTTCGCAGCTTACCAATCGTCCCTGCTCCTCCTCAAGATCCAGTCTCCCTCAAATTTCGCAACCTCCTCCACGTTCTCTCCGTGACACCAACCAAATACGAAAATCCAGGTCTCCTCGATGAGGCGCTCTCCCACATTCCTCTCGATCGATTGTATGCTGAAGCAGAGGAGGAGAGTCAAATTTTGCAGGCCCAGGCAGCTAGTGTAGGGGAACGACCAGAATGGGGGTATCAAGATTGTGTCATTCGGGCGTTGTTAAGGTATGCTTGACGTTTATCCAGAGAAGTGACAGCATTGACAATTTACTGATATCGGGCACCAGATGGTTCAAACGTTCCTTCTTTCAATTCGTCAACAACCCCCCTTGTACTCGCTGTTCCATGCCTACAATTGCACAAGGCATGACTCCTCCTACGCCCGATGAAACCGCACGGGGCGGCACTCGAGTCGAACTCTACCGATGCTCGGAACCCAGCTGCGGCGCTTATGAGCGCTTCCCCCGGTACTCAGACGTATGGCAGTTGCTGCAGACGAGGCGGGGACGTGCAGGCGAGTGGGCCAACTGCTTCAGCATGTTCTGCAGAGCCCTCGGAGGCCGTGTTCGTTGGGTGTGGAATGCTGAGGATCATGTCTGGACTGAGGTCTATTCCGACCACCAGAAGCGTTGGATTCACGTTGACGCTTGCGAAGAGGCATGGGACCAGCCCCGTCTCTACACTGAGGGTATGTGCTTCATTGTACCGACGCATAGGAGGGATGCTAACGCAGGATGTCATAGGTTGGGGCCGCAAGATCTCATACTGCGTTGCTTTCTCGATTGACGGAGCTACGGATGTCACCAGACGATATGTTCGAAGCCCGACGAGGCATGGCGCTCCACGGAACCGTGTACCCGAGGAGGTTCTAGTTTGGTGTATCCACGAAATTCGGAAGAAGCGCCGCGAGAATCTGTCCAAGACGGACCAGCGACGCCTGATGAAGGAGGACGAACGGGAGGAGAAGGAGCTCCGTACCTACACCGCATCCGCCCTTGCAGCCGAGCTGAACAACCTTTTCCCTCGGAACACCACCAACGGCCGCTTGGAAGACCAGAAGACCCCAGCTTCACGACAGGATGCCTCTGTCGAGTGGCTGAACAACAGACAAAGAACCTCCGGCCAGTCAGGCCCAGATGGCTCGCAGGACGGCCGCTAAGGATGCGTTCCTTGAACTGTTCCCCCCCCCCTCTCAGCATTTTGCATATACGAAGGCCTAGCGCTCTACGGTCGGCATATACAACAACCCGACCGATTGCCTTGCGGCTTCCATGCAAGATACAACAAATACGACCATATAATTCTGCCGGACTTGATGAATGAAATCGTCACATGACCGATTTACACGAAGAGTTCCACCTAGTATAGGATTCAAACTGACGCACTGCATGGTTTGGCACTTATGTGGGCCTCACCATGTCACGTCTGCCGATGTCCGGGAATGATCCCGGTCAAGAATCGGGTCGTTGCCATAGGGCTCGTTTCCGGCCTGAGGCCAGAGTCTCAGGCCGGATGAAGATGCCTCCAGATCATGTTCGCGATACGCCGACCTGACCATCACACTTCATCTTGTGGGTTCATCGAACTCCACCTATCGATCATTGATTTCCCATATGTCATTTGACCTTCTCTTTCCGACTACACATTTTGTCCAAAATGTACTTTCTTTTTTTTTTTCTCTTTTTTCTTCTTACATCTTTGGAATGATGCATTTTCAGGAGATCTAATCGGATACCTCATGGGGGAACGGTTATGGGTTGGGGGCGCATTTGTGACACGGAGTTGTCTTTCTATTTCTTATATAATGTTCTTTAATTCTTTGAATCCTTGTCATTTTTGTTCAGGGACAGCGCAGCCAGCATTGCGGCGGATCAGTCAATGCCATGTTTATGAGACAGATGTTTCGGTCGCATGTAGCCTTAGCAGGCAAAGCGGCATCTCCTATCTTCTTACTTTAGTTCTGGCTCCTGGCGATCTCAGATACCGAATTGAACCCTTACCACAAAGACTTGTTAATCTCGTAGCATGGCTCAGTCAGCAGTACGTCACGACATGGTAGGTTGATTGTCCCCAGTACCCTTTCCGCTTTACCATCCCATCACAGATTCTGCAGTGCCCTCAACCAAACCCTATGACGACGGACTACCTCCTCGAACCTTGGCTCCCAACAATGTGGACCGAATGTCTCTGATGTTCCAGACTCCAGACATACCAAGCGACAGGGGCAGTCGGTACTTGCTTCTTCGAGTTACATACCATCTGGCCTCCGGCACGCAATGGAATGCTACGTTTAAACATATGGGCAATCCGGGACCGGAGAACACCGCACCCAACTCTCCGCGTTTCGAGCATGACAAGACAACAAGAATCAACAATTGTTTCCTGTACTGTAGTGTAGCCCTTTGGGCCTCTGGGTTTGGGGTTGGGGTTGGGCCCCGGATCGTTCGATTCCGGGGTGGTCTGGCAGTGCAATTCGGCAGACTGGCGATCTGTGAATCTCGCTGCCTAGTCTAGTCTAGTTCTAGTCTGAGGGTTATGGGGATCAGAATCAGAATCTAATCTACGACTCTCGAGGTTATATTGTTGAAGCTAGCTGGGAGTTGGTAGTGTACAGCATCACAGTCAGAATGCCTGCAAAGGGAACACTCAATTCGAACTTGACCAGAACTGACCAAAGGAACAGTGAAAGAAAGCTTAAGGACGGAGTAGACTAGGTGGTAGGCAAATCCTGACATCCAGAACCTCCTCAGACGGTAGACCCTTAATCTCCGTGACCAACCCCGAGAACATGAAAAAAGAAAAAGGGAAAAAGAGGGGTCCAGACGGTCTCCACTTGTGGAACACACGACACAGTTGAAAACACTTGCACTTCCGGTCCACGTTATTCTTGTCCCATGATCCTGGGATTGGTCATGGGTTTAGGAAATATGGAATTTGGACTTCTAGCATTTAGAGGTGCTTGGCCTCAGGCCCAAGGGTATTAGGGACAACAAAAATCCAAGCGCATTCAGGAGTTTGGGTACAGTACTCGAGAAGGGTGCAGGAAAGAGTGGGTTCTACGTGCGCGGGTTCAGTTGACTGGGGCCCTGAGCCGGACCCGGACCTGGGAAATGGATGTGAGACATTCAGGGGAATGGGCACACACATACACACACGCACGGGGGTTATTCGTGCTCCGATCGGGGCTTTCTTCCTCATATCTTTCTTTTGAACGCTTGGTTGTTTGACTGAGTTGGGGTGGACTTACTACATAGTATATCTTCTCATGCGTACCTAGGTAGGTACTATATATTCTATTGTATGAAGCGTGTCAGCATTATCAAGATCCTGACATATATCGAAGGACAATGCAGAACTCTCTTCAATGATCTAACCTCCTTCGTACAAAACCGCGTGTTGAATTGACAACATTCAAGTTTTCTAGAATTTGCACTGGTGGTGTTGGTAGTGGTGCCTGGCACGCGTTTCCCTCTTCCACACGCACCCCGCGCGCTCCGAGTAAGACTAAGACTAAGAAGTGGTCGGGGCGACGGAGCCCACCCCCCTGCTATATTTAGACGCGCCGAGCAGCCGGCCAGCCCGGCCAGACGGCCAGACGCGGCTACTCTATCGTGATCGACATCCAGCGATCACCGTCATTGGGTGGTGGTGGTGGTGGTGGTGGTAGTGTCATGTGGACGGGTGGATAGGTCCGCTGGATCTTGAATTTTGAGGGGAGGGAGAGGTGGTTGGGGTACGTTCCTGATTTTCTGGTAAACTACCCTGACTGGTACCTGATTTATTTGTAGGCTGTATCTATGGATATTGGATGGAAGACAGGTAGATAGTTGTTTACATTAGAAATGTGTGTAGGTAGTGGTTGTGGCCTTAAGCGGTACGGGTTAGGGGAAAGTGCCGAGTACCGCCCGCGGCGCTCCATGACATTAACCCAGGCTACGGAGTACGTAACCCTAATCTCAGGGACTATAGTGCGCCCCCGCCGGAGACCTATGTATCCACCCACATATGGGCATGCGAAGAAAAGAAAAACAAAAACACAAAAAGGTCGTGCCCGGGATCGAACCGGGATTACAGGAATCAGAATCCTGGGTGCTAACCATTACACTACACAACCTGGTAGTTATTGTACCAATATTCTGTAACCGTCTTGATTCTTGTTGATTCTATCTCTCCTATCAAGCCTTGGCAGTCCATTTTATCAACATCTATCAGAGAGGTTGGGGACTTTCGCTTGCTGATGCGACTGGTTTTAAATGTCCAATACATGTAATCAGTACTCATATAGATTAGCTTGGATGACAAGCATAGCAAGCCTCGGTTTGCTTGAGGGTTTGTGTTTCGCAAGTTATATATGCTGCCTATGAATTAACTTCCTGTCATGGCATATAGGTAGCACGCTTCAGCTCATTCAAGAGGGAAATATAGGTATGCAAAGGGTTGCAGGCCAATCCATGTTCTTTGCTGCAAAATACATATCGGTTTTCGGTAACCCGTAGAAACAGGTAAATCCCGCGGCTGCCTCTGGGCCATTCAGTCTCGTTGTATAAGTGACAAAATGGCCAGTTCCATCTTAGGCAACTCAGGTTGGCGTTAGGGATACAACATGATTGACCTGGGTGGATTAAGATCGATGCTCAGTTGGCAGGTTGTATTCTCTTGCTTCTCCATGAACGTGCGAAGATGACTGATAGACAAAACTACAAGTATGGCGATTGCTTCTGAAATCTCCTGCGGCAGCAGATTGAGATCTTATCCAAGTCTGAGCTCTCTGAGCTGAAATCGCATGACAGTTAGGGACACAAAGTGGGTGCACATAGTCTTGACTCCATCGCATCCGAGTAAATAGTCCTCGGATTTCCGCAGATATTGTTGTCTCAGCCTGAAAGCTTGGTACTGCACACAACAACCATGGCACACATTGATAGCAGCGAATGCCTTGTAGTTCAATAGTCAGCGCATTGACTCGAAGACTCTACCAAAGCAGGTTGAGCTTATACTCACTAGACACTAAGGCACAGTACCGGCCCCACTCAACTTTGGCAATGAACACCAAGTGGGTCCATCCAACGGGCCCGCTTCTTTACGAATGCGAGCTTCCCTTTCCAGCTCAACTTCAGCATCATCCATCCTGTATATTCTGGAAAGAGGGAACCAACAATGACTTTGGCTCCTATTCACGGCGCCCCTAATCCACAGAGACAAGGTTTTCACTCTCGCAAACTACTATAAGAATCTAGACCCCTGCCCTCCAATATGGGGCAAACCACAACAACCCTATACTCTGAATCATCTACTTCCTCCAACAATGGCAGATAGCAAGCAACAAAAAACCTACCGCGCCTGGCCAACCGACCCGCCAACCTACACTCAAACCAACAACGAGCAGGTCCGAAGCATCACCCATAACAGAGAATGGAATTATTCCCTCTGCGACTGTTTCTCCCCCGGCTCATTGTGTGAGTTTTTGCCCCCCCAAAGGACACCCCTCCCCAATCCAAGGAGTGCAGAAAACAGCCACTAACACCGAGACCCCAGGCCTAACAAGCTGGTGTCTCCCATGCCTAACCTTCGGAAAGACGCAAGCGCGAATCCACGACCCGACACTCCAGAACTTCAGCTACATCAACACTGAGGTAAGTACCATGACTACCACCAACAAGCCGCTGTTTCCCCGCACCCTTCCCCAACCTTGCCTTCGCAGAGGTATACTAACTGTGCAAACAATAGTGCGCCATCTTCACCTGCCTCGGCCTCGGTGTCTCCCAGTGGATCATCCAAACGATCCGGCGAGGCGAGATGCGCGAGCGCTTCGGCATCGAAGGCTCGTGCTGCGGCGACTGCTGCACGACCTTCTGCTGCGGATGCTGCGCCCTCATCCAGGAGGAGAAGGAGATGGAGCTGCGGACGAGGCCCGAGTTCACGGGGTACCAGGCCGCGCCGCAGATGGCGTATCCTGCCTAGGTTTGGGGTGGGAGGTCAGATGGCTGATTGGCCTTGAGGTGTGCGCGAGAGTTGCTCCATCTGCATCCAGCTGATGCGTGTTTCGGGGTGGGGGTGGGGGTGGGCAAGGGATGTGTATGTGTATATGATAGCTGGAAGATGCTGTCACCAGTGGCACGACGCCAGGGGGTTTCTTTTGTTCTTGTATACCCTGTTACCTATGGTACTTTTGATACCGAGCCGTAAATAAAGCTCAATCGGTCTGCTTTGAAGTAGTGTTCAGGAAGCGATGAGGGAGAACAGTGTTAGAAGTATTGTGCTGCACATATCATGACTGAAGGAAAGGTATTCGCGTGGATGTGCAGCGGACACAAGACAACGGACCGGCCTGAAGCCTCAGGCATCGGTCCGAGGGGTCTGGGCCTGCCGAATGTGGCGCCGCTTTAATGGTTTTCTGCCACCGCCTAAAGTGAACAGTTTTCCGGTTCGGTTGTTCGGGACTGTGACTGGTGGAATTTCGCATTTCCACCCTCGAGGTCGCGGGCGTTCTGCCGGACGTAGCGGTGAGGGAGGCGGTCAGCAGCTGGCTAAGGTGTGGGGAGCCTGAGGGGCTAGGTGTCTGGGCGGCAGTGACCGTGTTGTGTTGATAGTGCCGCAGACTGCAGATGGCGGAAACAATGGACTTCTCAACCTATGCAGCTGGATTTGAATCCACTCTGAAGACTTGAGCTCATCGTCTGATGTCGCTCCTCTGATGTCTTTCCTCTGGTGTTATTCTTGAATCCGAAATGATTCCTAAACTCAACTTCGGGGATATAATGACACGCAGATTAGACAAGTACTACGACCGCACGGCAAGACATCCGGATTGCACAGGTATGTGTCGTCACACCCGCGTGTGCAAATTCATTAGAAGAATATTATCAGAATAAGGTATATACAGAGCATTAGCTTGTGAAACCGGCCACACCAGACAAATAGTCAGATGTCACAAGACAGTCCACTATTCAAGGGGAAAAAAATTATTCACGAGAATGGAAAAAGAGAAAGGAAAGGATCGGATCCTTCAGCGCCAGGCCTCAGTCTCATCGGGATGTGCTTGCTATACCATGCTCTTGAAACTTGACGCAGAGCGGAACAAGCTTGCCAGCGACGGAAGGGACTTGAGACGCTGAGGCCGTGGCAGGGTTTCGTGCAGCGACGCCGGGGTTGGGAGGTCCGGGCTCGCGCACTGCGAGTAGAATCGGCCGATGTCACCATCAGAGCCGTACTCGGTCGGGGTGGCAGAACTGACCGACCGGGGAATGCCGTCGGTCGAGATCTGGAGATTGCTGCCCATGTACTGGGCTTGGTGGCGCACAGGATATGCGCCAAAGCAGGCTCGGGGCACGAGACCCTCCTGGGCGGTTTCAAGAACGTTGACAAGAGCCTGCGGAGAACGTTTCATTAGCATACTTGCGGTGACACAATGGGAAGAAGGGATTGACTTACCCATCCGTCGTCGTAGACGAGATGCAGGACGGCATTTTGACCCTCTTTCAGCTCGACGTGCTCGGGGCTGACAGGCTTGAAGTCCATTTCTACCCGGTACACTCTGGCAAAGGAAATATCGGGCGTGCCGGGGTAGGTCCGACTCTCCACAGTTGGGCTTCTTGAAACCCGGTCAACAGTGGGGCTCCTTGACACTGAAGGGCTGCTGCTCGCTGTTGACGATAACGATGACGATGAAGATGGTGATGATGATCCTGAGGATTCCGGGGAGATGGGCGTGACAGTCTCGACAGTTGCTACTTTTGCCTCGGGGAACTTGCCCGTCTCAAGTTTGGGCGTGCTTGATACTGCAGCATCCTTTAATCGACCGACATCACCGACCAAAGTTTCCGAAGAGCCAGTAGGGCTCTCGATACTTTCAGATACCTCCATAACAGGGGCGAGCTCGTTTGCATGGCACGACCTAGGAAGGTCCCGCAAGCCTTGGTGCAGACTGCTGCTACTATACGTGCTGTATGTGCTATAAGGACGAGGAACATGGGCTTTGCTCCCCCAGCTCGAATGAACGAACCCGCCAACCTTCTTCAATGTGGTCACACTTGTCGAGTACACCTTGCGACTAAACTCCTTGATCGGCTCATACTTTGCATTCTCGAAGTGGCGACGCAGGACGGGGATTTTCGATTGATATGTTGTCTTGATCTTGCCCCCCGCTTGACGCATGACGCTGGTCCCTTCGGTGTAGACCTTGGATGCATACCGGACGAACTCATCACTCGTTCTCGGGCTGTCAGACACCTTCTCGCCTCGGCTTTTCGCAATAATTTGCCGGAGACGGCGCTTCTTCCGGCGTAGCGACCACAGGATGAGTCCTGCCATTGCGACGACGACGATTATCACGCTGAGGCCGATTGCTGCCTTAGTCCCGGCAGGCGTGTCCGCGTGCTTTGCTGAATCGACGGCGAGGACGGTGCTGGTAGGAGTGGCTTCGCTTGGGTTGGATGAGGGGAGGGATTCTGAAGTTCCGGTAGCAGTAGGAATCACTGCTGTTGCGAATGTTGCAGCCCCCACAACTGGACCGGCGGCGGCAGCTGTTGGGGGCTCGGCACTGGGAGCTCCAGCACTCCATTGAGTGGTCGGGTCGTTCGTTGCGATCCCTGCGGCTGTTTCGCCCGTTGTCGCGGTATCGCTAGCGGGCGCTGCCCAGGTGTTGGCCGTTCCCACCGCGGTGCTGTCCTGTGCAGCTGCAGGGGCAGCAGCAGCAGCAGCTTCTGTACCGGCACCTGCTGCTGTATTACCTGCGGTGGCTTGTGTGGTTGTGTCGGTGCCTGCCGCTGCTGTCCATTGCCCTGTGGTCCCTTGTGCTGTGCCTGCCGCGCTGCCATCAGCAGAGGCTCCGGCGGCAGTAGTGCCGTCCGCTGCGGCAGCTGGGGCTGTCGCTGCCCATGTACCTGTGCCATCTGAAGTCCCGGCTGCTGTTCCCACTGCTGTGCCTGCAGCTGTGCCTGCAGCTGTGCCTGCTGCTGTACCTGCTGCTGTGCCTGCCGCTGTGCCTGCTGCTGTGCCTGCCGCTGTGCCCGCCGCTGTGCCTGCTGCTGTTCCGGCTCCGGTTCCGGCTGTTGATGCATCACCGGCCGCTGCACCACTACCTGCCCATTGTCCAGAGCCGGCCACGGAGGTTCCCGCGGACCATTGGCTAGTGCCTTCGGTAGAGGCGCCACCGGCTGACCAGGTTGACCCAGAAGCATCGGCCAGTTGAGGTTGCCTCTTAGCAAGGCCAAGGCCATGGGGTCTGTTTCTGAGTCGCATCGTTGGTCCTTGGTGTGGGTGTACGAGCATCGACCAAGCATGCAACAATTGTCGGCTGTGGAGCTAAAAGTCGGGAAAAGGTTTGGAACTGGACGGCTGTCATTGTAACTAAATAAGTGTCAAGCCGGCAGACGCCACAAATCGCTCAACCCATTCGAACCACAACATACACACTACACAAACAAACTACCACCTTCAGTATCCAATTCTGACAATCCACTAGTGCGGTGGGGTTGTTCTCTACGTCTTCTATTGTTGTTGCATCCGCGGGATGCGGAATGTGTTTTCTATGGTCTATCGCATTCTTGGGTGGATGAAGCGCATTCCGGCGCCAACCCTAACGCTCTTTGGGAGATTACACATTGCCCGGGCAGATGGGCCACCTCATACGGCGTGCTCTTTATTGTTCCTCCGATTTACCGTCCGGAGCAGCTCCTCGCTGTCTCTCCGCAGCATGCCTGAGCTTGTTGTCTAGTCAACGTTCGGTCTCCTCTTCGAGCTTGATGTATCCTTGAGCCTACCATCCGATGCAGATCACTTCCGCTATATCCAGTTTTTGGAAGTCAATGATGACGCTTGCACTTAACAGTCTTTCTCGATGTCCCAGGCAGAGTACCTGGCTGCACCCTTACTTCTGACGCTGACCTGGCTTACTTGTCACAAGCTGTCGATTTTATGCTGGCGTGCAGGTACCCGTCCAGGCCTCAGTGCGAGTGCGACGGAATGCAGCGGACATTCCTCCAGATTGAGCCCGGGACTAGCAGTGCTTCCTTTGTTGTTGTTGACTCTTGTTTGTGTTTGTGATATAATGGAGTCAGTCAACTTGGTTCATGAGTCTGCTCATCATAGAGTTCAACATATGCTTGAGCTGAGGGTCAACAGTTGTAGATACTAGACACTAGGAGTACAGCCCAAACATTGGCTTCCAGACACTTCTTGTGGTCTTTAGTCCTCTTGCCATCATCACATCGTTCCACTACAGTCTTTCGGTACTATATACACCCATCAATATATATTTCCTCTCCACACAGTTCCCCTCAGACCATGCATCCCATCTCATATCTCATAATACCAACCAGCACAGTCTAAACCTATGCTCTGCAAGCCTACACCCAGAAGCCAAACTCACAATTTATAACAAACCCCATAACCCCAACCCAGCACCCCCAAACCAAAACACAACCCTCAAAAACCTCAAAACATCAAAACAACCACCACCTTCCAACCCTACCGAGACCCGTCCCCCAGGCACCCAAGCTATCCACCAAACCCAAAACCCAAACCCCAGGAACCCCCTCCCTCCCTACTATGAGTAGCTAGCTAGCTCCCATTCCCTCAAATTCCACAACCTGTCGTTTATTGTTTACCCCTGCAGCTAACCCTGCCAGGTACGAACTAACCTACCAGGCCCGAACTACCCTGCCAGGTACCATCAGTTCCCTTCCCCCGGATAGGTCCAACTGGTTGTCTCCAGACTCGAGATTCCCACTCCCATCCCTGATAACGGGTTAGCTCACATACCTCCGCCGGCCGAGGAATCCGCACTATAGATTTTGGGTTGTGTGTTGTTTTGCGCCGACTAGCCTATCAACATGCTGCAGGTGGGGGGTGGTTTCCATGGTGAATGGGGGAGGGAGATATTTGGGGGATTCTTGGGGGATGGATCCATGTCTAGGTTGCTGGTTTTGGTTTTGTCGGTGTGGGTGGTGGTGGTGTTGTTGCTGTTGGTGCTCTTGGTGCTGTCTCCTCGGGTGCCGTGGGCGTCGTGGGCTGTGGGCGTTTGGTTATTGGTTGGGGATATTGATTTGGGAGATGGTCTAAGGGGATTTTGGGTTGCTTTGGTGGTGGTAGTGCGCAGTGGAGTATGGTTACTTCGGAATTATTCTTGTTGTTGTAGGGATCTATCTTCTTAGTTGGAAGGGTTGACCTGGGGATGTGTATGGTTCGTTGAGGGGGGTAGTTGGCTAGTAGTCCAAGTTGGGTACCCATTTTTTGTATTTTCGTGGAAGTGGAAGTAAATTGAGGAAGTTGTAGTGGTGGGATGGTGTGTTCTTATCTCTTGATGTTCGAGTCTGTAGATTGAAGCATAGCAGTATATATATATCTCTATCTTTGTGGATGGATATGTGAATGTTGGTGGCGTTCGGTCTTGTTCGGTAGACACTATTTCCTTCTTGGAGGGTATGAGGTCTATGCTGTTGTCTTACATATCTATGTGTATTCTACGCTATTGATCGATCGTTATTGTACTTGGTGTGCTTGGGTAGTTTGCTTGGTGGTGAATCGACAATCTGCGGAGTGAGTATTCTTCCGCCGACTCAGTGCAAACCGCCGAGGGGGATGGAAACAAGGGATGAACATGACCCAACTTCCCCCCCAGTCCATTGGACTACTCTTTGCACTGGTCAAGTCTCTAGACTTGTACGATGATCCGACCCATCTAATGCATCTGAGGTCAGGAATCCATGCAAATGGTTCACAGGTACATGCATCCATACCTGCTACTCGCTCCTCGCTAAAAAACATACAAGAATCCCCTACAACCCCCTGATCCTCCCACCACAAACCTAGAGTCACCTCCCTTCCCCGACCGCCCAAACACAACACTCGATCCCCCTCTCCCGCAACTCCCCATCGATATTCCCCACCTCCTGCACATAGTACGGCTGCCGCGGCAGCTGCAGCGTCCACCGCCGGCGGGGCAGGTGCAGCCCGCGCAGCGGCTCCAGGAACAGGGGCAGCTTCTCGACGGGCTCGCCGAACCAGCTGCAGGGCAGCTGCAGCGTGAAGGTCTGGAGGCTGCGCATGCGCGTGACGGCCTGACACGTCTCGAGCCACTGCTGGCGCCCGGCGGCGAAGTAGACCGTCTTGACGGGGTCCTTGCTGGGCAGCCAGTGGCCCGGGAAGGCCCAGCGGAGCTCGACGGCGCGGATCGCGTCCCAGAAGTCCGCGGGGATCGTGGGCCGCAGGTACGTCAGGGACCAGGTGTTGCTGAATTCGAAGGTGTTGAGCGTGTAGAGCGTGTAGATGGATTCGGTGTAGCTGTTCTCCCCCCTTCTTGTTAGCTGTAGGGATTGAGGGTTGGGTTGAGGCTCAAGGGATGGAGCGCGCACATCTGCTTACACGTCAACGCCAACGCCAGAAGTCCCGTTGTTGTTGTTGTTGTTGTTGTTGTTGCTGTCGTTGTCGGCGTCGTCCTCCGGCTCGCAGCTTTGGTCGCGCTGGGAAGCCCGCCCTGGCAGATCTCACAGGCCAACACCCCGTCCCGGCTGGGACACACGACATGTCCCATTCGGCGATTCGCGCGCTGCACGATGTGGATGCGCATCCCGCCTTGCACCAGCTCCCAGATCGCCATGCGCAGCTCCGGTGATAGCTTCGCGAGGAGGGCGCTGTCCCCCTGAAAGGCCCATTCGCCCCGGGTGTCGGGCTTTTGCTGCTGCTGCTGCTGCGACTGCGGCTGCGACGCACGTTGGCCTTGTTGGGCGCTGCTGGATCGCCGGGTCCGAGGGAGGGCGGTTGGCTTGTTGTCTTTGAACATGACCATCATGAATTAGAACCCTGGTGTCAAGGATCAGGGCAAGGGATAGGCGTCGACGGACTCACTCTGATACCGTTGCGCCAGTACATCCTCCCACGAGAAAATCCCCTGCTTGATCCTGGCCATGGTAATCCGTAGAATCTGGGCCCCAGTATAGAGAGTATACCAAGATGATGCACTCCCAGACGATGGAATGAGCGAGAGCGACAAAGAATGCAGCAACCACTGTCAATAGTCCATGATTTCCAATTGATAATGAGAATATCGGGAAGGTGGGTAAGCTGCCTGACGCGCCTAGAATACTGGTTACTGGGGCTGATTTGAGCCACACGATTGCTTTTAGAATCACGCGAGATCTTGTTCGACGTACGTGGCTGCGGGGGTAAGTGAGGGGAATTGGGGGGGGGTCCGAATGTAAGCGCCTGCGTTTTAACCGGAGAGGTTCATCGTGAGAATGGAGGGGGACAGAATCGATGCAGAAATCACACTTGAGGGTTGGACCTGAGGGGATAAGTCATGTCTTTATATATGGAAGGGTGAGGAAGACATATTATCTAGGAGGAAAGTCGGTGAGGTGAGATTTACATCCATTCTATCTAGATACAGTAGACAGGAAGATAAGACGGCGATAAGCAGTTGCTCAGTTCGGCGGATGTCGGATATTGTCTATTGACTGGCAAAAGGAAAGTCAGATTACAGCCTCGTCGCCTAATCAAAATCCCGCCGGAGAAAGAAGAAGCGGAGTATAATTCCTGCTGAATTGTCTTCCTTGAATAGTTCACTCCCTACTCATCATCATTCAATGATCCCTGTCTCGTCAGGCATCCGTCTTATCGCCTTATCTTCTGATCTTATGATATGAGTTCCTTTTTCTGTACTTGCAAGGAGTGTCACGCGGCAATTGACCACTTTGTCGCTGGATAGATCACAGCCACATCCATGGTGAGAGCCATCACATCGTTGTTATTGTTGTTCGATTCATTCCAGAAAAGTAAAGTCCGAACTCAAATCTCACGCACTATTCCCCTCCCGCTTCTTCTTCGCCTTGATGTTGACGCGCGGACACTCCAGAGACACCGCAGCACGCCACGGCAGTCGCTTCATAGAATGCCTGTTTCACAGACTTCTTGTACACAGACATGGCTGCATCGTACAGCGACGAGGGCACGGTGCTCACTAGCCCAGTCGCATCCGCGTTGATCACAATGCTCGGGTTAATGGAAGGGACATATTCGGCCAGGTTGCGGACTGATTAGTTGGTAAACACGTTCACTACCGACTCCATGAGTGCTCCTCCGATATCTTCCAAGAACATGATAATCGACGTTCCGAAGGCCACATCAAACAGAAGGGGAACCGTCTGGGAGGGTGCAATGGCCGACTGCAAGCCGAGTCCGATGCCCAGCCCCAGGATCAATGATCTAGACGGTAGATGTCGGAGCAACACCATTCACCAGAGACCCAAGTTTGAAGACGCCCAGGGCTGTCAGGTAGGTCCACTTGATCGAGTAGATGGTGAAAACTTTCCCCACACAAGTTGGGGGAGTGGAATGTGAGCAGATAGGCACTCACATATTAGCCGACGTCGTTCATCCGTGACTTTGGGAACAGCGCTGGAGATGATGGTATTTTCCAGACCAATCAGGAAAAAAAAAGCAAGGTTCAAGCTGTGCATGATGTCTGCTAGCTTCGCAATGCTGGGTGTTGCGACTCGTCGTCATCATTGTCCTGGCTTGCAATAGCTTGATAGTCCTCAGCCGGGTCTTGGTATTTGACTGACTCTGCGAGACGAGAGGCCCCTGAGGACTTTTTACTTATGAATATTTCGATGCTAGCCTGGTTCTGCGTCATTTGAATAAGTCGGAACTCCGGTGGTATCGAGACGAGCTTGTCACTGGTCGGAAGCGCATCGGAAGATACAACTGTGATACGACCGCTGGGAAAAACTTGAGGTACGATACCGCAGTCATTGACGATAATCAACTTTCGGGGGAGGGATCATAAAATTGAATGAATCGGCGACGTGATCAGGTCGTGGTACCGATGGCTTTTGGAGGCAGCCACGCAATCCAAGTCGTTGGATGAGAGTCTGAATATAGACCCGGAGAGGCCTGGCTTACCATAATGACTTTCATACTTATATAAACTGCTGAGATTTTCTGGAGTAGATCTCTTTGAGTGAAGAGCAATCTCGCATACTATCAGATTGGGGAGACAGTGAGACGGAGGAAGATGAGATATCCAAACGGACCTCACCAAAGTGGAAAAGGCTCACACTGAATGATCCCCCGCGAACATGATGCTTTTAGTGCTCAGGCTAGCCAAAATTGAGGGCTTGTTCCAGAGGGGTGGCCCGCAGCGCTTACTATATCTCTATCGGTGATATTTGAGATAGCGTACGGACTTATTTGATACCGCACTATAGGTAAACTGAAGATCTCACTCACTTCGACTCACCATGCATCAGTATCCTTCATTTCCAACGGTAACTGTACAGTGGGCTTGCCGTAGACGTATCTGGTTGTCGGATCGACCGGGACGTTGCGGGATGAAGGGTCCAGACCATTGAAAATGGGGGTGCAGTGCGAGCTGCATGTTTGGCCGGGGGCGTTTCGTGGACTTGATGGGCTGTGTCCCGAGGCGGAGTTACTGGTGCGGGCGGTGGAGACGAGGATGGTTTGGTTGAGGAGGTTGTGGTTTGGAAGGTGCAGGTAGATGGGTCTTGAAGGCTTTTTTCCTCTGAGGAGAGGGTAGGGAATAATAGATATGGACTATGGGCGAAGTGGAGCATTTCATGGATTTGAATATATAGGTATAGAAATGATGCATAGATCAATATTATTTGATGTGCACTTGGCAGCAAATTGGATCACGACGACTACTTTAGATTTTCAATGACGATAATATCGATTGACGACACACGAGAGAAGTGAGGGTCTACAGCACCGCGAAAGCTGAGACATAGCTCACCGAGCTGTCGTTCACGTCCGTGATATCGGCACTTCGCTCATATCGGACGAAGTGGAATTTGCCCTTCTTGCCCTCGTCTTGGCTAATGATTGCTTCGAGGGCAGCCATGATGACCCCGATGGGGTGACGGCCGCACACGGTGTTTCCCGTCCGCTCGACTGCGTCCAGGAAGCTTGCCGCACGTCCTGTGGTGATGGCCGCCATGGTTGCAATGTCGAACGCAGAGATGCTTTCGTGGATGGCTGGCTCGTGGAGCTGGACACGATCCCGTCGCTGAAGGGAGTGGCCGGCGGATACCGACTCCACCGTTGCCTCTACGTCTTTGTGGTTGTTGCCAGGCTGGGGGAGCGAGTCGGCCGAGAGTGGGAGACTCGGTCCTGGCTTGGGCGCATGGGGAACATAGTAGGTGTAGCGGAACCGCAGTCCCCAGTGGCAGAAATCTGAACTGATGACGAACGCGTTCTCAGGATCTTGCAGATAAGGGGCAAGCAAGGTCCCAAAGGCTTCCTCAGTTGCAGCAGCCGTACTTCCCACCATGATGGGGACTAGCGGTGGATACTGAGATGTCGGCTTGTTGGGATGTTGGAGCTGAAGAAGACGGTGGATGTAGGGCAGATGGAGCTCGATACTGTGCTCAGCTTCATCGACAGACTCATTCATCGTTGTGAAAGAGATATTGGTTCCATTGCGCTTGACAGCCTTGGTTGATAGGAGCTTTGCGATAAGCTCGGTATCGAGCGGCAGAGGGTCATCGGAGAGCGGGGTATAGTATGATGTGAGCTCGGGGAGAGCAAGTGTCGTCAGATAATGATGGTGAGAGGGTCCCAGCACAAATATCCGTTTCCTGAAATTGAAGTGAGTCTTTGAGAACCGAGACAATCGGGGGTACTCTTGATTCTTACGCCTTCGATAAGTCCAGGGCTTTATAGGCGTGGGCAGCACATGGTCCAGAGTATGCATAACCCGCATGTCTGGGAAATCAGCATGCAGTCAAAAGATGAACAGTCACATTAGCTTGGACATACGGAGCGATGATTATACGAGCACCAGGCACAGGCATTGATCCAATACCCGGGATCTCGTTTGGGACCTGAGCCAACCACTGGTCCAACTGACGCGTCAGGGTATGTTGGCTATCAGAATACCAAGAACCAGCGTGAGTAGCTTCGCGAGACGGCATGCTGAGCTGATTTTCTTCCTCCGCGAGGAGATAGCAATAAGAATTTGGATTAAGACTGCAAGTTGACTATCTGGACCCTAGATTAAAGCGTGTGCACCAAAGAGGGTATAACAGCTGGGTAAGTTGCAAGGTGCTTTGTCGGTCGGTCAGAGTCTCACAGACAGCTTGAAGCAGAAGCGGGGAAGTGGAACTTCCCTCGTCATAGGCACAAAACAGCGGAGTTTGCCTCGCTCAGGTATCAAGACTCAAGTCTCCCCTCCGCCGGTATGCCGAAGGCGGCATGCCGATCATTGTATACACATTATGAACATTTGGTCGATTACACGCATTGCGAGGCCATTATTGGATGATCTGATAAAGTTTTAGGAAGTTTTAGGTCAAGCATTCCTCAACTTGCAAATGTTGAGTGGTATCCCATATGATAGGCCTCGAGTAACCCTGGGTAGGAATTGAATACTATCATAGCAATTATAACTGTGGAGCCAGTAGTTGCATGCGCTTTGGGAGCTCTCATTGAGAACTATCAAAGGTATAATAGTATATATTGGTCTTCTTCTTGGCATGATTCATATTTTAATCCAGAATTTGAGATTAGAGCACCGCCTTTGCATATGCGCCTTATTGGATTGACAGTCCCTGTCGGGATCAAACCTGTGACCTTCTAAGCCGATGTACTCACTAGTGTCCTATAAAGGGGTAAATAAATGCTAATAATCAAGTTGTTCAAGGCAGTGAAGTATAGATCGAGGAATCAATCGACACAAACTACGGGATTCAGTCAATTCACCCCTAAATAGGAATAGCGCATATTTCATGTAGTGCGACGCGGTCTCGCCTTCATTTTCTCCGCGATCCGACGCGCCGGTGTCTCGACCAACCACGCCCGAAAAGGCTCTCGACCCCAGCCTTGTTCTCCTCCTCAGCCTATATATCAGAAAAGCTGCTCTGCCTCGTTCGTCATCTTTCCACCTGATCCATCTTTCCCCATTGCTCCCATAAAGTTGGTATATATACTATTCTGAGCAACATCGCATTGCTCGACCGAAAGATCCACTATCGACCCTGCAAGCGGCAATTGGGACCTCACATCAGCATCATGTCTCTCAAGCGCAAAGCCTCATTTCCAAGCCTCGAATCACCAAATGCCCCCTCAATGTTGACAGGCGGGTTCTGGAAAGGGGAGGAAACCCCCCAACATCTGAATAGTCGGACACGAAAGCGATTCAGGAACGACCGTCCAGAAGAGAAAGTTGTATATGGTAAGACTTGCTGACTGCTCTCATCTTCCTGGCATTGTACTTATACCTTTCAGAGAACACACTTCGGTGGCTTTTCACAGCCCAACAGCAACAAACATCTGCTCCCCTTGCAGATGAGCAAGAACAAATGGATCACGATCCCACACTATCCCCTGAGACGGTCGACCCGCGCCAGCAGACGTTACTCAAATTCTTCCGTCCTTGCCAATCATCCTCCAATAAATCGCATCCGAACAGCCTCATGCCGAAGACCAGCGATACTCCATTCTTCGGCGCGACACCTGTGCGCTTTCACAGTATGCCAATCGCGGCTCCGGGACATTCAATGGATAGCGATACATTCAGCCCTGCTTCTCAGACCACGGATACTGACATGGATGTGGAAATGGAGTCGGCTAGTGATGAGTCGAACTGCTCGTCCAGAGCATCAGTTGGCGGACTCGCCTGGATGGGACACCCTAGGTTCTGAACGCCAAACGAAGAACCTGATCTCATCTATGTCGCAAGCGACAATAAATTTTCCATTAGCGATGATACCAAACCTAACACTTTCTCACACTGGGGTTCTCTTACCGGCTGTTGCTGGTCACGTCGGTTCTATTCAGAACCCAAGCTGATGCGTTTTGTCTTGGACAACAACTGCATGACGTCACTCTTTTGTATATCTACAGCTTCAACATGAGAAGCTATCTTCCTTTGCTCTGAAACAATCTTGGACGTCTCTGGCCTTGTTAGCATTATTGATGTGGCTTGGAAGGCTGAGACGGCCGAAGGCTTCGGGCACAGCCTATATGAGAAACAGATCTACATAATACTATTTAGCATTGAAGCGCAAAGCTTCAGCGGGGAATAACTGAATCATTGTCTTATAAATCCTGTCTGAATGGAACAATGAGTACTATAAGAGACAATACATAGTACTGTTTCAGCAGTTCTGTGTTGTTCAGTAGTCGAGGGGTTTCACCGACACATACAATACACGAGGAGGCTTGAGCATAATCAAAAGCATCATAGAGAAACCAAGTTTCTCAATTTCCTCACACGAACTGCTGGAAGAGAAATGCTTCTCGACGATGGGTAGCTGAAGCTAGAGGATGTTGTAGTCACACGCTCAGTTTCGGGAGTCACATGCGGGGGGAGCAGTAATGCCTAAGGTTTCCAGCGGCTCTATCCTTGACCCTTACGCTACGCTACGCTACGCTACGCTGGGGTGACCATCTTTCTTCTTCCGAGGACGAACCTTGGACCACCCAACCGGAACACGCCCAATTTAGCTTCGAGGAAAGCCTTCTCAGCTGAAGATATAAACCCCGCCTAATTATTTTCCGACTGACTGCGCCCCCAGGCAACTGTTACGCTCTCTCGTTTAACATCGGCCAACGCAGAACAGTCCAGACCGCCAAGTTGTCTCCTGCTAGTGGTCGCAATTCAGTCCCCCGCTCTCAACCTGTGAGGTGAAGCTGGTTCGCCCGCCTAGGGACAAAGTTGATTAACCCGGAAGGGATAATAAAAAAAGGAAGCGAGCTATACAAATCATGGACGAGAACACGGCAGTGCAATACTTGGACTCCTTGATCGGTCGAACCCTCCGGGTGCACGCGACAGACACGCGCATTTTCGTGGGCACCTTCAAGTGTACCGATGCGGTAAGTGCTCTAGCTCTTCCTCTTCCTTAAATGATTTGTTGGGGTCGGGCTTTTGGCGGAAAAGATACGAGATTTTTTTTTCTTTTATTTGGGTGTTCGCTGTCACTTGGGGGTTCTCTGGTCTGACCTTCTTTCTCTCTCGCGCTTGCATTAGGCACGAAATATCATCCTTGCCAATACTCACGAGTACCGTTATCCCTCGCCCTCCGCCGTTCGAGACGCCGCCACGGATGCGAATGAGCTAGCCGCAGAAAGCGCGGGGACCGCACAGAATATTAATATCAAAGTGTCCATGACTAGTCGATTTATCGGGCTGGTGGTCGTCCCCGGTCAACATATTACTAAAATTGAGTTGGAAGAGACCCCGCAACAGGGTCGGATGCGGGACACCCTACGATCTTAGTGAGGTTGCGATCTCCCATCGGAGGCAGAGTACTGGAAGCTTGACTACCCGGCGGCACAAGATGCCCCAGCCACGAACACGAACACTATACTCATGCTATGTGGTATGATGATGGGGGGAAGGGGAGGGAGGGATTTCGGGATGAGCTTCTGGAGAGGGAGGGGTATGAACCTCATGGTGACCCAGGAGACGCATGAGTAGCGCACAGAGCCGAAGCAACCTGCACGTTGACCCTGTGCCAGAGGCCCACATATACCTCGTTTTGAGAAGAGGAATTCTCTAAGAAAAAAAGGGTCTTCCCTGTTCCCCAGCTGAGCTGCTGTGCGAGCCAAGGCGAAGCCCTCAAGCACTCCTACTACAACGTGGTTAGGAGAAATATTCAGACAAAGTCGTTGGTGCTTGGCGCAGGGTGCATGGGCTTGGCAGCAGCAGCCACCGTCGTGACCATGCACCACGGGGCTGTAGTCGAAATGGCGGTGTTCCTGCAGTTTGGCATACCGCTGACTGTTGTATCGTCGAGGTGATTTGAAGGGTATCTTGTGGGGCATGACCCTTGCCCTCGCACCTTTGCTTCCACTCGAACGGGGGGTGGCACAGGGCCAGTCCGGGCTAGATGGCCGCGCGAGGGGATGGAGACGAGACCACCATTTGGAACAACAAGGTTATGACTTGAAGTTCGGCATCGTGTATCTATATCTAACCACCTCGAGTGGATCGCTCCGGACGGCGAGTCGGGTGTGGTCGGAGCGTTCTGGAGGCTGACTGTCGGTGATCGTCCGAAGATGAGTGATGCGTCCGGGATCCAGGCAGAATTGAAATCTCCATGCATCATTCCAAGAACGAGGAACCTATGATTTTAGGAAAGGAACGAAGCCAAGGCCTTGGAGGGATGGAGGTGGTGGTGGTGGGAAGAGACCAACCATGTGGCTTTTACGTAGAGCAGCAGTGTTGTGTTCAAGTTCTATCAGAGCTCTAGATCTCCTGAGAAGTTTGTTGGGATCGAGGAGAATGAAACAGTCATAATGTCATCGACGATCACACCGTAGTGACTAGTGTTATAAATAAGTCGGATGGGGACTCAGACAGTCTGGATCGAAGTCAGATTTGACCTGAGGCGATAAGATTGTGTGGACGGTGACAAAGACCCCCCCACACCATCCACAATTCAAAACAAATCATCATCATCACCATCATCATCATCATCATACCTATGGTGTATGTGTGTATGCTATAATAAGCAGGCGGTTCCTCATACCGGACTTTATCTGCCACAAGTACCAGGTTCCGCTCAAGCATTTATCCATCTCATCTTTCTACCCGTCCATCCAGGCAGCTCCATTCCTGTTCCTTAGGCAACTTACGTGCTCCTCATACAAAAAGCTCCCAGGCTTAAGCTTCCCTGTTCCGGGCCGACCGATTAATCCGGACATGCCACACCCGCTGTTGGCTGCAGGATTCGAGACCAAAAGCGAACTGAACTGAACTGAACTGAGCTGTTAACGTAGTAGTAAGTAGTTAGTCTAACTGAGTGCCAGGTGGAAAGTAAGCCTGGGTCTTGAGGCGAGAACCTTCACTCTTCACTAGGCTGAAGCTCACTAACAACTAACTAAATACAAAAGTAAAAGTAAGTTCACTCCAGCCTTCTCTTTCCACACCGTTCGTCGTCAAGTTACCTAGTAATTCTTTTTCTCGATTTCTCTTTTTCTTCGTTTCGCCTTCTTCCTCCTCTTCCACCACCACCACCACCACCACTAACAGCTTCTGTTCCACTGTCATCATTGGTATTGATCCTTCCAGTAGCTCCGGTGTCTCAACCTTATCCTCTGTGGCTTGTGTGAGAGAGTGAGTATTCTGGTCTGGCATGGTTTTTCTCCATTCTTTCCACTGCCACATCCTGCCACATCCCCATCCACCCCCCCCATGATGACGCATCTTTGCCCGTTTCCACAACTCTTATCATTTTCCCCTCCCACATCTTCCACCCCCCGTCAGAAACAGATCACAGATCCCCCCCCCTTCCCCCCCAAACTCTACCTAAATTCTCCGTTGGAACATCTTACCTACCTACTATTGCCTATCTCCACATGCAACCATTTTCCCCAGGTTTCTAGTGTCTCCCTCGAATGTAAATTGCCCATGAACTAGTGTTCATTTTGTCTTTCATCTTCCCGCCGCCGCCCCGTCATTTCCACCCTTTCGTCCTCCTCTCCTAACGGTCGCGATTTAGGAGCTTCCTCGGCGAATCGGAGCTTATCCTTCCGACGACTAGCTCTCGGTGGCTGATGCTTTCGTCTCCCCCAAACTTGATGTCCATCCATTCCTGCCTCTAATTCCTTCTGCGCCATTAGTCGAACTCGACTCGACTCCCCTTATCCTTCGCGTCACCTCGAAGGGCTGGATCCCTTAGTCTCGTACCAACATCGATCGTGGCCGGTTTCCGACTACTGCCTTCCATCGCCGTGTCTTGTGGTCATCAACTGCCCTCGTGACATTTATTGACCTGTCGACTCCACCATCAGCGAAAGATTTTCCTCTTCTTTATAACTCCCAACCTACCCTCGGAGGTATCCTTAGCCAAGACACCTGCTAGCATTCCAGCACCTAGCTGGGCTTGGTGCTCCTCTGCTGAATCCCTATCCATCGTCGGGCGTCGGAGATTGAGCTTGGCAGATATTTTGCCGTTGCAGTAATGGGTCAATCGCATTCCAAGGGCAATAATGGCCCTGGCGATTCTTTGCAATCGTATCCATCCTTCTCTCGCTCTGACACCAAGGAATCCATCCGCTCCCTTCGTGGCTCGATCCGCTCCAAGATTCGTAGCAGCGACAGTCCCCGCGCCTCCACATCTGCTCTGTATCAGACGGAAAGCCAGACCGATAAGTCGGATGCTGGCTCGATCAAATCGGCGGCAAGTAGGCGCAGCTCGACCAACCTGAGCGCTCCCCAGTCCCCTGCTGCTGATGACGCCGCTTCCAAAACCGACTCCTTGGAACCTCCTCCGTCTCCATCCCTGTCGAACAGTCTGAAAAGAGGCCATAAAGATGTGAACGCGATGCAGCAGAGTGGGGAGGTTGACCTCGTGTCGGACGCTCCCCCGACCGGTGTTGCCCCCAAGGGCCCTTCTACACAGAAAGTTGGCGAATCGATTCTTATCAAGAGAGAGAACCAGCTGAATCCGATTCTGGACTTCATCATGAACACCCCGATGAACAGCGAAACATCCGGATCGCCGGGAATGGGGATGGGTGCTTTGAAGTCGATTGACCTGGATGACATGATTTCACGACTTCTTGATGCTGGTTACTCGACCAAGGTCACCAAGACTGTTTGCTTGAAGAATGCGGAGATCGTGGCCATCTGTACCGCCGCACGGGAACTCTTCCTTTCTCAGCCCGCTCTTCTGGAGCTGTCGGCCCCCGTCAAGATTGTCGGAGATGTCCATGGTCAGTACACTGATCTCATTAGGCTGTTCGAGATGTGTGGGTTCCCCCCCGCCTCAAACTACCTCTTCCTGGGTGACTATGTGGATCGCGGAAAGCAGAGCTTGGAAACAATCCTGCTTCTGCTCTGCTATAAGCTCAAGTACCCCGAGAACTTCTTCCTCCTGCGTGGCAACCACGAGTGTGCCAACGTTACTCGCGTGTATGGATTTTACGACGAGTGCAAACGGCGTTGCAACATCAAGACTTGGAAAACATTCATCGATACGTTCAACTGCCTCCCAATTGCTGCGATCGTTGCTGGCAAGATCTTCTGTGTCCATGGTGGTTTGTCGCCGAGTCTTTCACATATGGATGACATCCGAGGCATCGCCCGCCCGACCGACGTACCGGACTATGGCTTGCTGAACGATCTTCTGTGGAGCGATCCAGCAGATATGGAGGAAGACTGGGAACCCAGCGAGCGTGGTGTCAGCTACTGCTTCGGCAAGCAGGTCATCATGAACTTCCTGCAACGGCATGACTTTGATTTGGTGTGTCGAGCGCACATGGTGGTCGAAGACGGTTATGAATTCTATCAAGACCGTATTCTGGTTACTGTCTTCTCTGCGCCTAACGTAAGTAAATTCCGAAGTCGATTTGTGTCAATCCTTTTCCTGATACTGACTGTCCCTGGATTTAGTACTGTGGTGAATTCGATAATTGGGGAGCCATCATGTCTGTTTCAGGTGAATTACTGTGTAGCTTCGAACTTTTGAAACCGCTGGATTCCACGGCCTTGAAGAACCATATTAAGAAGGGCCGGAACAAGCGGAACAGCATGCTCAGCAGTCCTGTAAGTCGTCCCTTGCTTGTTCGTTTATTCTCGCCAAGCCCAGAGACTACAGCCTTGTGTAACAATGCTGAGGCATCTGTACCTTGGACGATACTTGCTTCTTCTGCACTGGTACGTTGACTCGATCGCAATGCTAACGTATGCAGCCTGCAATTGTCTCGGCACAAAGCTACTAGAGGTCCTGGTAATTGCATGCCAAGCGATCGTCATCCGCCATATGTCACCATCAAAACACCCGGACTCTACACCATAAAAACTGACCAATGCACATCATTCGCTATCGGCAGCGCAGCCTTTGGCAACCGGCTGGGCTAGCACAGTATCACCGCCAACTCGGCAGGTGCGCCACAATTATCCCGTCGACAGTCGGGCGCCAGCCTGAAGAACCCCACTGCAGTGCAGTGATCCTGGCTCTACCGACCCATTTCTCTCCATTCATCCGATCCTCGGCTTGGCAGATGCGGAATATGCCAGGCTCGTCATCTTTCCTGTTACTCAGAATCGACAGCATAGCGAGCCGATGCTCCGAAACCCGCGTCCTTGACAGACAGACCTTAGACTGTCCATACATGGTCCAACAGACCGTACGGTCGTTCCATAACTGCCAATACTCATTTGCATCAAAGAGAGGAGGATTTTCATGAATCAAGAACGAAAAAAAGGAAAAAGATGAAGACGATGCGAGAATCTTCGCTTTGTGTTTCACCTCCTTGTTTTGATAAAGAACGGTTCACTCACCATCATCAT